GAAATGTCAAACTGAACCCTTCATTTCGCTCACTGGGGTAGACTGTTCTAGTTCCACGTGCCATGTTTAATGGATGTCAGTTATCAGTTATCACCTGTTAATTCCACTACTCCACTGTCTTAACCGGGAATTGAACTCATACTCTTTGGGTCCTGTCACTGAATCTAGCCAACGCCTTTATCCACTGTACCATCTGTCCAATAAAAAATCATTTTCAGAATTCATCAATCCATTCATAAATGGATCTCTCTTACACACCCTCTCTTTTTACTACTCGCTTTCTAACAGTTCTCCTTCTCATCAAACTCTCATTAACACTACTACTACTACTACTACTGTTACGACAAAAAGATGCCTCATTGTGGAGTAATGGTTATCGAGCTAGTCTGGTTAACCATTAATTCTGAGTAATGGGTTCGATCCTGAGTTGATATTCGTGGTATTGTGCTAAACTAACCTTAGTATTGATTCATTCATTCGTTTTTATGGATTATCAACTATTTGCAGGTTATTTAAAGCCGGAAAAATATTTTTAGATTATAAGATTTTTTTTTATATATAATAATGGTTTATTGAAACAAGTTACAGCGTTTTCCTTGATTTAGTTTCCCTAATACTAAGGAATTAATCTGTGAACGTATTCGGATTAAAATAAAAATAGTCATAATGTCTAGATTATTCAACCAAACATGCTCGAATGAAGGTATGATACCTAAATATACATATTTTAAACTACATGACCCAGCAGCTCATCATAATACCAATGTCTACCATAAATAGTTGGCTAGTTATCTCCAAGAAAACCGAAGTGGAAGGCAGATATTGCGAAGATTTCTCCATCACCTATGATCTCTAACCCAAATCATCGGAGAACATACTTCTGTCCCGGTATCGACGGGACATCAGGCGAATCCTCTCGCCCTCTTGCAAACCTCTTGCCCTGATAAATGCCTATCAAAAGTTCTACTGCTACTAGACACGTCAGACTTTTCCTTAATCAGTGTCCAGATTGATGCCAATCCTAAGGCATACCCTGATGTACCGTTCCATAGAACGAGTTTTTGCTATGCGAATGCAAACTAGGACAGTTTTCGATCCTATATGATGGAAGCCTCCCTCTCTTCGAGAATGCTGCCCCTAAGACAGCATGTCACTGACTGGATCCTTTCTGGATTGGAGAGTTTTATACCCCCCCAAAAAAAAATTACAGTAAAAACCAAACAGCCAACACTGGTTTAACCCTGAATGTGCTGCAGAGATAACTCATCGAAACTACTGCTTCAATATTTATCGCAAGGAGCTAAGTAATTCGGTCCTCACTGCATTCAGAAATGCCCGAAATAACTGCAAAAAAATTCTAGAAAATGCCAAGCGCAGCTACGCACATGCGGTCTAGACCAGGGGTTCTTAATCGGGGGTATCCATACCCCTTGTGGGTATGGAACTAAATGCCGGGGGTGTGGGACCATATTGGACAATCCATTGGGGGTCTGGAATCATCAAAATGTTAAGAACCCCTGATCTCGACCAAGGTTGAATAGGCACAAATTGTCTCCCGTGAACCCTGAAAGATCACCAACCAAATCATGAACAGAGGTAAAACGGCTGTACCCACAATTAAAAACACCAGATTGTGCACTCTCGCCGCCCCCCCCCCCTTTACCGAAACCCGAAAATGCTTGTAGTTAAGTAACTACAGAGGTCTTCTTGTTCTTACATTGCCTCGTCATCTCCAGACTTTCATGTGGATGACATGCATGGCGCCAGACCTGTACACAAATATCTAATAAAGTTTAATCTTCTTTGTATATTGTGGACTGGCGCTGCACAATCACAAACAAAGAACTGCACCTACTAACAGAATATAAATTGAGGACTATAAACAGTCAGATATGTGCCATGCGTGATACCCGCTTAGATCATATATCTTTCGATACATGACTGACGAGGCAGATTTTTCCCGTAGGTTGCCATTTCTTTCTGCAGTAGACCAGTTGCCATCCAAGGCTACAGAACCCGGTCCGTCCTGCTGTTTACCCATAGATGGGGGAGAAGAAGATTCATACCTTTCCCAAAGGTATTATCACGTAAGTGAACGTAATGGATTCGACAGGAATTCGAACTCGGCTCTCCGATTCCTAAATCCGGGCCGCTATCCATTATTCCATCGTGCCTCTTTATTTATTCCATCGTTTATAATACCCAGAAATCAAGGACACATGGCACAGTGGATAAAGGCGTTGGTTAGATCCAGTGACAGGACCCAAAGAGTGTGAGTTCAATACCCGGTTAAGGCAGTGGAGAACTTTCAGAAGGAAAATTAGCAGGAGATAACTGATAATTGACATCCATCAAACAGAGCACGTGGAACTAGAACAGTCTACCCCAGTGAGCAAAATAAAGGGTTCAGTTCGAAATTACAACCACCTGAAGAAGGCCGGAGCGTACAACGGCCGAGACGTTGTGATAAATATGGCGACAAAGATGAGGACAATAGTCCGAATAGTGTAAATAATATGCATAATACTTCATCTCAGAAATATAGACAGACTCTGAAACGTCTCCGTTGTGCCATTTAGATTAAAGACTTCAAAGAACTCTTTGACGTGAACGAATGATATTCCAAAGTGTTCGTATTCGTTTGTTTTACCAAAATTAAGCGAGTTGGCTGGCAAAGTCTGCTGTTCTATAAATCTACTTGAGACCAGTCTATTTACTAACATTCGCTGACCTGACATGTAAACACTAGCACAGATATCCAGTAACTCCCGACTGTAGTTTATATTGAAATATTTCTATCTTCTTGTCAGTAAGCCTTTATGTTTTTTTTTTCATTTTAGCCAATGACCACATCACTAAAATGAAAGTAAAACCTTTTTTGTTTTGTTATATAAGAATAAATTGTCGCTACCGGCACTTGAGTTTGAACATAGATCGCCAGTGAGCAAACACAGGTGATCCCATTATTGAATTAAGTAGACCATAGTGGAAACGCATATATGGAAGGTAGCGTGTGTCTAATGATCGCCATTTCTAGTCTATCCTCTATTACTAACGGGTCACCATTTTTACTGTATTCTCTATTTCTATATGGACCGCTATTCTCTACTCTATTCACTATACTATTCCTTTATTCGGATCACTGTTCCGGGTTACTTTTCGATCGAGTATTATCGAGCAAGTACTATTAGTGCGAGTGATATTCGAAGGCGTCTGACACCAGTATTGTTCAACGGCGATACTATAGTTGTATCTGTGATTACAAAGTCTCTACTACAACGAGCATTTCGAAAGTGACAACGATAAATCTACCAAGGTTTCGCCTCCGCGGATTGTCAGGGAACACTGGCTCCAGTGTTCGCTGATGATCCGCGTAGGTGAAACCTTGGTAGGTTTATGGCTATTTTAGGTTTAATTTACATATATATATATATATATATATATATATATATATATATATATACCGGATGCAACAGCAAAACTGTCCCTTTGTCAGATTAAGATTTGAACCATTGTAAATGATCAAAGATATCTTACTGGAATTTTCCTAGTTCTTTTATAACACTATTGGACTCTACCTTGAGCAATAAGCGCGTATACTTACTTTCCACGCTTAACAGAAAAATCCTGATGAAATCGATCATAAACGAAAACGCTATGTATATCATTAATTAATCATAGGTAAGAATCGGAAGCTCATGAAGAATTGAAATAAATTCTAAGATATATATATATATATATATATATATATATATATATATATATATATATGTGTGTGTGTGTGTGTGTGTGTGTGTGTGTGTGTGTGTATTTTATACCAGGATCATTTTCCAACTTATTTAAGATGATCTTCTCCCTCTCTAACTTTCTGTCCTTGAAATAACAAGGTGCCTCTACAGGTTTCACGTACGATTCCATTTTCAAGTCTTTTTTCACTGCTCTTTGGACTGTCATAGCTGAAACTCCTCTCTCACGTGCCAAACGTGTTATGGATTGAGTTGGATCTTTTCAAATTGATATCTTTAGCTCTAAGTTCAAATGATGATCCCTCTTGCTGTTGTGACCTCTCTATCCAGTTTTCCTCTCTACGGTTGCCTCTTTTTTTGACTTACTCATCTTTCGCTTGATGGTTCTTGGATGGACTTTGAAGATAGAAGCCACAGTATGAACGTTGGTACCATTACTGTAGGCCCGAATGATATTTTTCCTCTCACCATTACACAGTTAGTGGGGCTGACACAAAACGATTTTAAACAGATCTCTTTCTAGCTGAATAACTCAAAGGTTTTTTCAGTGATTTTTACGACAAATGGTGTCAAGATGGCTAAATGTCTCGTCTCAAATTATGGAAAAAAAAGAAACTCAATTAGTTTAGTGTTTTTTTTTTTGTTTTTTTTTTAGATATTAAACATTTTGTGGGAAAGACAGATACAGTGTAACATGATTTGGACATTTTTGCTGTTACACCTGGTATATATATATATTGTTTGGCACAGTTCTTTGTGATTCTGTAGCGCCAGACCACTAGGTTCAAAGAAAGATGGTCTTCGTCAAAACATATAGATTTTTTCCACTCGAGGCCATTTTAAACCATTGATTGCCTGTTCTTATCTATCTATCTATCTATCTATCTATCTATCTATCTATCTATCTATCTTAGTGTTCATTTGTATCTATCTATATTAGTGTTCATTTCTATCTATCTATCTATCTATCTATCTATCTATCTATCTATCTATCTATATTAGTGTTCATATCTATCTATCTATCTATTTTAGCTTATTGCATTTTTGCAGCATCTCGCAGTGTTAAACAAATTGTTTACTGTACTTATGTTTTTTTTGTTGTTTATAAAGGTAAAGTCTGAAATCCAGATAGGCATAACACTTTATTGAAATTAGAAGATTGGCGCCATACAGTCTTTCTACCACCAGATATTAGAAAATAAATATCAACTTCAATGTATTGTCACTTGAAAGAAAGAGAAAAATATATGAAAATCAAGCAGAAAGAAAGAAAGGAAAAAAGAAAGAACATAGTGTCCGATAAACTGAACTATAACAGTGAATAAGAAAAGAAAGAAAGAAGGAAGGAAGGAAGGAAGGAAGAAAAGAAAGAAAGAAAGAAAGAAAGAAAGAAGGAAGGAAGGAAGGAAGGAAGGAAAGAAAGAAGGAAGGAAAGAAAGAAAGAACATAGAGTCTGATAAACTGAATTATAACTGTGAATAAGAAAGAAAAAAAGAAAGAAAGAAACAAAGAAAGAAGGAAGGAAAAAGAAAGAAAGAAGGAAGGAAGGAAAGAAAGGAGGAAGGAAGGAAGGAAGGAAGGAAGGAAAGAAAGAAAGAAAAGGAAAAAAGAAAGAACATAGAGTCTGATAAACTGAATTATAACTGTGAATAAGAAAGAAAGAAAGAAAAAAAAAAGAAAAGAAAGAAGGAAGGAAAAAGAAAAAGAAAGAAGGAAGGAAGGAAAAGAAAGGAGGAAGGAAGGAAGGAAGGAAGGAAGGAAGGAAGGAAGGAAAGAAAGAAAGAAAGAAAGAAAGAAAGGAAAAAAGAAAGAACATGGTGTACGATAAAATGAACTATAACAGTGAATAAGAAAGAAAGAAAGAAGGAAGGAAGGAAGGAAGGAAGGAAGGAAAGAAAGAAAGAAAGGAAAAAGAAAGAACATAGAGTCTGATAAACTGAATTATAACAGTGAATAGGAAGGAAGGAAGGAAGGAAGGAAGGAAAGAAAGAGGGGGGAGGAATAAGTGAATCCGTAGAAAGAAGTGTGGAGTCAGATGTGAAACAATCCAGATGCTAAGGCCAAATCAATAGAATCCTTGTACGACGCCTTTACTCCTCCTCCGCTATCGACGATTGGAACGATTCTCTCCCTTTGCCCTTACCAACCCAGCCTAGCAACGTCCTGGTCTCGGCATCATTTATTCGTCGGCGCATCGACACCACACACTTTACAGCAATACACGTCAGTATCTGCATTCAGAACTCACAAATATTGATCTCCTACCACTTCCTCCCCCACAACGCCATCATCGGTTTTATTCTCTCTCTCTCTCTCTCTCTCTCTCTCTCTCTCAGCGCAAAGCCATTGTTTGCTTTTCTTTTGGTGGACCTGAAAATTGAAATGATGTGAAAGTCAGCTCGTGTTGGCGCATGCGTGTGGCTGAGATTTCACGCACTTATGTATGTCAAAACAGAACCGTTGCTTGTTTATCCCTGAGCGTAGGTGCTTGTGATAAACAGAGACGTTTATGTATCCAGTACATATAAAATACGGTGTTCACGACAAGAGAAAAGCTGCGCGATCCGAATTGGGGACGACAAAAGTAGAGATATTCAATTCTCGAGGAAATCGTTTAACAGACGACGGACATTTTGATACCGAAAATCCGAAAGCTTATTAAAAAAAACAAAAACAAAAGGCGCCTTCCAAAAGCTAAACAATACATTAAAAAGCTTTTTTTTAGGTTGGTTTACTTTGTTTTACGGCATATCAACACTTCAATGGGTTATTTGATTCCGACAAGATATTTAGGATGAGTTCATATAAATATTTCATCGTATATCTTTTTTGTAAGAAATCAGTTTGTAGATCAGATTTCATTGACGTACTTTTGAAAAGATGGTTTTTGTAGAGACTCTGATTTGGTTTATTTTTTTTTACGACCTCAATGGATTATTTAATACCGACAAGATGTTTAGGATAGGTTCGTATGAATAGAATATGTATTCTTTGCTATGTAATATCACTCCTCCCCAATTGCTGGACACTTTCCATCCAGGTCAAGAGGAAACTTGAGGCAACAAAAAAATGTGGTTACATCGATGGATACTGGGAATACTATGCATGTAGCATGTGAGCAACGAGGAAGTTTTAAAGAAAATGAAAACAGAAAAGGATGCTTATTCCTAGAATCACAAAGGGACAGATCAATGTTGGGAGGAAAGCTGGCCTGGAGAATTTTGATATTCACACTGAAGGCAAGAGGGACAGAGGAAAGCAAAAAGCTTATATAAATGGATGACAGAACATCCAGTAGGAAGCACTGTAAAAAAAGAACAAGGAACATTGCAAAGAGCTAAAATGATGTGTAAATAGTGGAGAACCATGACCACCCACGCCTTTCATCATTATCCTGATCATCCTTCGACCTTCCTATGGTTGAACGGAACTCCATTTTACAATCCCTTTCCACACTGTTCACTCCTGTATTGCTTTTCCCAGATCCCTAATATCCAACCCAGTGACCCGAGCTATGGTGTCTGGGAAAGTCAATTTTCGTGAGAAGACACTTCCAGAAGGATTTCCATAGGATTAAGGATGAGACGATTTCCCTGTTCGCTCGGTATCAGTGACCCGCAAACTGATATAAGGTCCCAGTTCTCCGTAAATTGTGTTAAGCGACGCATGGGATCTCCAACTGATCTTCTGGATTTTTCTACGTAGATAAGGGACTCAGCAGATAAAAGAAGGAGGAGAAATTTTTCAAATTCAA